CACAGACGAATTATCAGAGCGAATTTTCATATACTGTATTATCCTACTATTGTTACACAATTTATTAACATACTCTTTTTTAGGTTCATTTAGGTACTTTTGATAACGATAGCAGAAAATAGCAATCGAAACGTCAAGGTAATTTTTCAAATTAATTTCTTTTCTAATTGGAATTTTCTCTTACAGCTTAAGCCTAAGTGTGTCGCAGGATACCTTCTAGGTGACAGTTCTTGATTACTTTTTGATAAATCAATTCGTTCTTATTGCGAAATAGGAGCACTATTTATCAATCTGTAATAGAAGACGTGAGGAAATTCTGTCTTTTTTAAACACAAAACTTTTTGAGGCGAAATACCCAACAAGAAGTTTGTAAAAAAATGAATCCGCCTCAACAATATAGAACTTATCTATAAGTTTTTCCTTGTCGCGCTTTCGTTTCGCAGGAAACAAGCGTTATGGTTTTTCTCAGGATTTGTTGCGGCAGAAATTCCACAATGGAGAAGTGGTTAAGGAGAGAAACTGTAAAATTGATAACTGAATACGAAGAACAAAGCGCGACATAAAATGAGATAAAAATTACCTTTAATACACACTCATGTTCTCATGTTCATATGTAGGTCATCGTGTCGTTTGAGTCTCTCGAAATTTTTTGTTTCTTTTCTATTTTCACCTTAAAGAACACTGCAATTTAAGCAGTTTCAGCGTCAAAAATCCTGGATGGTCCATCAATGAAGCCAAAAAACACTTACAAACTTTAAATTCGCTTTTCCAAAACCACCTGTGTATGCACGAAAATGATATTGTCCTGAACGGAGGTCTCTCCCAAACTCTTCCATTTTTCCCTATCCTGTGCAATGTCCAACCATCATTTACTTGCCACCTCTCTGATATCGGCTTCTTTTTGTTTGTCTCGGCCTCCATTCTGTGATTTTAAGCGCCCATCTGTCCTTGGGTTGTCTAGCCACGTGTGTCTAGCCCATCGCCATTTCATCTTTGCGACTTGCTCGACTATGTCACTGATCTTCGTTCTTCTTCTGATCTCTGCGTTTCTAACTCTATCTCGAAGTGAGATACCAAGCATGCTTCGTTCCATAGCTCTTTGAGAAGTTCTGAGCGTTTTGCCGTAGGCTTTAGTGAGGCATATGGTTTCCATTGCGTATGTATTCACTGGCAGGACACACGTATTATACACTTTAGCTCTCAAATTCACAGGAATTGTGTAGTTCTTCAGGATGTGTTCGACGCGTTCAATGAAATTGTTATCTATATATATTGGTATTTGCATGACTCATTATTTTGGTCTTGTTGTAGTTCATTTTCAGACCTATACTTGTCGAGGCTTGGTTTAGTTGTTGTAGCATTTCACTTAGCTCATTGATGTTATCGGCTATTATGACTATGTCGTCTGCGAACATAAGGTGGTTAAGTCCAGACCTATCCACGTTGATACCTTTTTTGTCCCATTCTAATTTCTTGAAAATATCTTCGAGAGCCACCGTGAATAGTTTGGAAGAAATGGTATCCCCTTGTCGCACTCCTCTTTGTAGTGCTATTTTACTGGTGGTGGTTGTTTCGTCTATTTTTGCGTTTTCTAGAGAGCTGTCCGGTGCTATTTGCTGCAAAATCGTGTTTTACGGATCAACAATTCATAACTCCACATGCAAAACTGTCGCTAAGATGCATAATAATAGTGTTCTTCGCTAAAGTTTCATCATCCTTTCTAACGTCGCCCATTGATTGAGTTTATCTAGCGCCTCGATGGTCAGATGGCAGATTATTTGTCTCTTTCGGAAATTCAACACAATTTTATTTGTCCCAATTTTATTAGGCATCCGAAAACATAGCAATACCAACTGGAGGATGCTTTTCTTCTCGTTCAGAAGTATCAACATCTGAGAATATTTCTTTTCTTCTTGATCATTTCCTAAATATKTATTGATGTGGACGCACCTTTAATCACGAGCGCTTAGAAAAGTGCGCAAATTTCCAACACAATCCAAAATCGCGTTTTCCACACCCGTCCGAGGTACGTAAAGAATGAACCTCCCTGTTGGTCTGGTTCTCTAGAGTGTCTAGTCTAAGAGAACTCTGACAGCACCACCTGAGAAAGTGAGACAACAGCGATCTGCGCCTACTTTAGTTAGGTTCCCGGTGCAGGTATGCAAACTAGTGTCAACTAGGTATATTGAAATAATTGCTTCTAAAACTATTGCGGTGACTTACGTGGGGAGGTGGTTGTAGCACGTGCTGCGCTTGACTAGGCAAAGCCTTGTGGCTGGTTGTGGAATTCACTGAGATCCGACTTCCCTGGGTTTGCGTCAGCATATCCACCCACTGATCAGCCAATTGTCGGCTTTGACAAATCACCACTCGCTTATCGATCATGGGGGCGCTGATTTCAAAGGCGTTTTTCAACAATTCGGTGTCTTCCAGTCGGACGACATTCAAACCGCTCAAGCAAATCTTGCCCTGGAAATAAATGGCATTTTTGAATTAAACTGCTGCCCATATGTGGGTGTAGATAAGTTTATATTGAAGTTTGGTTTTGCTTGTACGCATGCATTCATCCATTTTGAGCGAAATCGGTCGTATAGCGCAATAATTTCCTCATTAGAGTTGTTTTGAGAACCGCTTTTGGTCCTTGGCTCAAGCCTTAAATTACACACTTTTACATATCTACATATAAAATTCAAAATAATTGCGGGTTTTTAGAACCGCTCTTAGTAGACTAGAGCCATAAATTGAGCAGTTTTTTTTTTATAGCGAACGCCATTTGGGGAATATTTTTAGATTTTACGCAAAATGCAAAAAGAAAACATAGAGCGCGTTTTGAGAATCGCTCTCGGTCTTTCGCTAATATTTTGAGAACCAGTTGAGGAACACATGGCTAGTGGTCACTGTAAGATAGAGCCGCGAAATTCGCACTTTTAATGCCAAACATCATTTTAGAAACGTTTCTAGTGTTTACACCAAAAGCAAAAATTCCTAAATAACGCAGTTTTTGAAAAACGGCTCTTGCGGGATAGAGCCTTAAGCTACGCAGTTCTTTGTACCGAACATCATCTAAGGAATGTTTCTAGCTTTCATGCAAAAAGCGAAAATTAAAAAATTATGAGAATTTTGAAAACCGCTGTTCATTTTTGGCTCATATTTTGAGAACCGGTTGAGCTTGCAGCTCTAGTAGTGTTTGCGGGATAGTCTTAATAGGCGCCCATTTACATGCCAAACACCATTTCAGAAACGTTTCTAGTGTTTATACCAAAAGCAAAAATTCCTAAAAACCGCAGTTTTTGAAAAACTGCTCTTAGTCTTTTGCTCCTATTTCGAGAACAAGTTGAGCCGCAAAGCTCTAGTTGCCATTCCAGGATAGAGCCTTAAATTGCGCACTTTTTTTTGTACCGAACATCATCTAAGGAATGTTTCTAGTTTTCACGCAAAAAGCGAAAATTAAATAAATGTGAGAATTTTGAAAACCGCCGTTAATTTTTGGCTCATATTTTGAAAACCGGTTGAGCTCGAAGCTCTAGTGGTCATCGCCGGATCCTTTTATATGCCAAACATAATTTTAGAAACGTTTCTAGTGTTTACACTAAAAGCAAAAATTTCTAAATAACGGAGTTTTTCAAAAACCGCTCATAGTCTTTTGCTCTTATTTTGAGAACAAGTTGTGTCGCAAAGCTCTAGTTGCCATTCCGGGATAGATCCTTAAATTGCGCAGTTTTCTGCACCGAACATCATCTAAGGAATATTTCTAGTTTTCACGCAAAAAGCGAACATTTTAAAATAGAGCGAATTTATAACACCGCTGTTCTATTTTGCTCATATTTTGAGAACCGGTTGAGCTCGAAGCTCTAGTGGTCATCGCCAGATAGAGCCTTAATATGCGCCCATTTATATGCCACACATCATTTTAGAAACGTTTCTAGCTTTTACGCCAAAAGCAAAAATTTCTAAATAACGCAGTTTTTGAAAAACGGCTCTTAGTCTTTTGCGCCTATTTCGAGAACAAGTTGAGCCACAAAGCTCTAGTTGCCATTCCGGGATAGATCCTTAAATTGCGCAGTTTTTTGTACCGAACATTATCTAAGGAATGTTTCTAGTTTTCACGCACAAAGCGAAAATTTAAAAATACCGCGAATTTGTAACACCGCTGTAACATTTTGCTCATATTTTGAGAACCGGTTGAGCTTGCAGCTTTAGTAGTGTTTGCGGGATAGTCTTAATAGGCGCCCATTTACATGCCAAACACCATTTCAGAAACGTTTCTAGTGTTTACGCCAAAAGTAAAAATTCCTAAATAAAGTAGTTTTTGAAAAACCGCTCTTAGTCTTTTGCTCCTATTTCGAGAACAAGTTGAGCCGCAAAGCTCTAGTTCTCATTGCGGGATAGAGCCGTAGATTGCGCAGTTTTTTTTATGCCGAACATCATTTAAGGAATGTTTCTCGTTTTTACGCTAAAAGCGAAAAATTTTAAAATAGTGCGAATTTTGAAAACATCTGGTAACTTTTGGCTAATACTTTGAGAACTGGTTGAGCTGCAAAGCTCTAATGTCATTGCGGGATAGAGCCTTAAATAACGCAGTTTTTTAATACCGAACATCACCTAAGAAATGATAATCGAATAAAGAAATGCGGGTCTTACGAACCGCTCTTATCTCTTGATCATATCTAGTGAACCGGTTGAGATGCGAAGCTCTATTTGCTACTGGCGGATAGAGCCTTAACGTGTGTACTTTTCATACGAAAATTTCGTTAATGGTTTTAGTTTTTACGCAAATTTTTTTTAGGGGTCAAAATAAAGTTCAGCAGAATTCAACTAAAAAAAACAAGTGTTCCGTTAAAATTTCCGAGTTTGCAAAGTATTCGATTATCGGAAAAGTTTGAGAAACCCTGCTGTAGAGACTATTTTTACGTAAACAGATAAGGTTTAACAAGAAAAAACTTTCTTATGGAAACTTCGGATGATATTGCTTAGAAATTCCCCGGAAAGGAAGGTTTTCTCGAATTCAAAACCCTGGCACTCTTAATACTATTACTATGCTAAAACTGTTAAACTGATTAAAAACTGTTTATTTTATTTACGCGGACTATCAGTATATTTGCGTGTTCAGTGGGTGTATATTTGAAGCAAATCATACCTTCTCACACAGACCCTTTTCCTTGTTATGTAACAGTTTGTAGACAACTGGTTAAACCGAGGCTTCACCACAATCAATGGGTGATTAATCGGGCCATACTGCTGGCCAATAGGAAATATTGATTTCGCGTTTTACTTTTCTACGGCGTTTTATAAGGAACATGAAAAGTTCTAAGATTATTTAGAAAAAGATTGGGATTATATGGGCGCTCGAGCTGCGAATTTCTAAAGCGCATTGCGGGGTAGAGCCTTAAATTGTGCACTTTTTTCTGCCAATCATCATTTTAGAAATGTTCTGAGTTTTCACGCCGAAACAAAAATTCTAAAGTAATGCGCGCCATAGAATCCACCCTTAGCAATTGACACATATTTAGAGAACCGGTTGAGCTGCAAAGCTCTAGTTGTCTTTGCGGGATAGAGCCTTAAATTGCGCATTTTTTTGAACCAAACATAAAATCACAAGTTTATAAATTGCAAATATCATGCTCACTTCATAGATAAATCCACTGGTCCGGTGGCTGACGGACAAAATCACTAAGGCGGCAGGAAAAAGAACGAAATATCGGTCGTGATGCTGAGGACCCACCGCCACACTGCCCATATAAATAATTTCGCCTAAAAATAAAATCCAAAATTAGACGATTTTTCAAACAACTTGGTTCCAGTCAGTTTATGTTAGGTTTCTTTTACTTAGTTCACTGTGATATTTGCTTAAAACATCCAGGGCGTTATTTCAGTACGTAGCTGAAGCCAGATCAGAAGGTCCGGAAATGATTCCTTTTCAATGTACAGTGTTGAAGTAAAAAGATGGATTTTCGATTAATGTCAAGATTCAAAAGTTAGAAAAGGTCATTGACTGGTTGCTTAATCAAAAGTGCCTTAGAAAACGAAAAACTTTTAGCCAAAGTTAGTTTACAAAACAGTTTGACTTTTTGAGAAACACATGCATCGATTTCGTAGCGATTTTATTTCCCTTTTTTACACTAAAACGATAGAAGAATTGATTTTCTTGCGAAAAAAGAGCAAAACCCAGATCAAAACTAAGTTTCTCATGTTACAAAACCCCAAACCAACAAGCCTCACCGAAATATGGATATTATATAAGAATAATAATATAAATCGATATTTAAGAGGATAAATGGACATCAAAAATCAGAATATAAGTAGTAGATATTTACCTAGACTAGTCAAATTTGGTCCCTCCCAGCCCCGGACTGAGCCTGTTAAAACTTGCAGTTCCAGCTCCTTTTGCCTCTTGGTGGCTGAACAAGTAGTCTGCAACAACAAACAAATCAATTCTAGTTTCTAGCTTCTAAACTGCAACTAAAAAAATATAATTCCAAATTCAAGTAATATTATTATGACTGAAAAACCTACATACGACTTTTTCTCAACTACAAGACAAGACTTTTTGAGAAAACTGCCTTTTTCTGATCGATGATTCACTTTCTAAAGAGACCATTTACTTATCTCTGGAATAATGTAAAAATGAGGCTTTTTGCTCATTTTGCTTCCGAGAAACGAGCAAAAACTGGACGGAAAACATGAAACTTTGGCATAATCTTGCACCTAATTGTCTGATATTCAAATTTCGCTTTCTGGGTCAAAACTACTCGAATTTCCTCACTCATGTGGTTATGACTGAATCGAATTTTCAATTCTTTATCCAACGATGCCAAAACGAATTCTGAGGCTCAAATGGGACTTGAGGAACTTAAAAAAAAGCAGCGTCCTGTGCGAGGCGATTTTGCAACTCAAAAAACACACGCAAATTTAAAACTGCTTAAAATCTATACTTTTTTGGGAAAACTGCCAACATTTCCTGATCGATGGTGAAGTTTCTAAAACGGCCATTTAGTTCTCTCTGGAATGATGTAAAAATGAGCGTTCTTGTTCATCTTGCTTACGAGAAATGAACAAAAACGGTATGGAAAACATGAAACTTTGGCACAATCATGCACCTAAGTGTCTGATATTCAAATTTCGCTTTCTGGGTCAAAACTACTCGAATTTCCTCACTCATTGACATCATGAGTTGTTATGACTAGATTGGGATGCGCTAAACTTACCGCTATATCCTCGTAAATGCTAACAGAGCGTTGCGTATCACCTCGATCCGGATGACATTCCTCAACGTGGCGCTCCAACTCTTGCAGAATTTTCGGGTACCGTTCCAGCCTTCGGAAAGGCAGACTTAGTCGAGTGGTCAGCACCAAAAGGCTGGGGTTTGCAGCCCCTCTCGCATCTGCAAACTGTGTGAGTTCTTCTCTGAAAATTAAATTAAGTGACAACTTTTCAGAGATGTTTCGATTAAGTACCATACGGTTTGTAGACAGCAATTGATTCGATGGAAGAACACGAAAAAAACTTCATAAGGCGGTTAACAGCTCCCAGCATTAAAATGCTTGGCTTTTGGATTAGTTAAAGTTACTCGAAGAACAAAGTTACCACATAAGTTAACACAAAGTTACCACATACTTGTACTTATCCAGGATGACTACCGCTCTGGGATGCAGAGAACAGTAGGTTTGATGAACCGCTTTAATTTTGGGCGCCCAATTCAGGAATAACTTGCCCACTCTTTGATCGGGTCCAGGCTTGGCGCATTCCTGTTCGACGAGCGCCAGCAGCTGCTGATGTGCATCCAGAACCTCATTGATGTTGCCAGTGAGTTGCTTGAACTCATCTTGGGACAGTCTTTAGAAGCAAATACTTCGTCATTGTTTAACACAGTCTCTTGTTTCGTTACCATCACTTACAAGTTACTGGTATCCAGAGGCTGCAAGTAGTTCGACACTAAACCCTCTAGTTCTTCCACGTAGATCTTTTCTGAGTCGATCAGATCCTTGAGCACGATACTTTTGTACTGGTTGTCTTGCTGGACAACAGGTTTGGGGAGATCTGCGCAAATTATACATGCAATTAGCTGCGTTTTTATGGGTCGAGGCTATTAGATCGCAAGCAAATCGGTAGGTACTACAAAAATACTTGGATTGGATGGATACTAGAAACTATATATTCAAAAAATTAAAAAACAAACATCTTATATTCGTAGAAAAATCTAACTAAGCGGTTTTTGCTTGATATGGAAATATTTTTGTGACTATAAATGCCGCTAAAGTTTTACTGAATTTTGACGATCCTTTTAAAATGCAGTTGCCAGATTTTCAACCCTCAAATTTTGAGGACTGGTTTTCAAAAATTCATTTTTCTTAAATGTGCAAGACGAAGCTGTTGGTGGATGCAAGGTTGACTAAAGGTCCTTCTGCTAAGAGTGCTGAAAGTTTCAATGTGAAGATGGGTTTTGATAAATAATGAGAAACTTTTGAAAATACGGCTGTGTCAACTCGGCAATCTTAACCGGTACTTTTTGTGCCCTAGTTTCAAAAATTCATTCCTCCTTAATGTGTCAGACTATGAAGTTCTCTTGTGCATGGTTAAATAGAGCTGTCCTTAGTATACACGTTCTGAAAGTTACATAGCGCTTGCAAATGATGCTTAATTCTGACGAATTTTTGAAAATGCTACAAAAATTGTATATTTCAAGCTGCTCATTTTGCAGACCAGTTTATGAAAAACAATTTCTCTTTAACCTTCTAAAGCAGAACGTTGCTTTATGCATAATTGAAAATTTCCTGCTCTACTATTCCTGAGAAACTCAGCGGCATGAGAGTTTTCGATAAATTTTGACGAATTTTTGAAAAACCGCTGTCCAATATTTTACAGTCTAGTGTTCAAAAACGCATTTTTCTTACATGTGCCGAACGGCGGAGCTGCTTGATGCATGGTTAAATAGAGCCGTCATTGTTCTAGGAGCCATGAAAGTTTCAATGTAACAAGAGGTGTTGATAATTTTTGATGACTTTTTGAAAATGCGGCTATCAACTCGTCTGGGTCAAAAAGTACATTTTGCGCATTACTTTTCAAAAATTCGGTCCTCTTAAATGTGCTAGACTAATGAGTTGCTTGGTACATCGTTAAATAGAGCTGACATGGTTCTAAACGTCCGGTAATTTTCAATACGAGCAGAAGTTTTATTGAATTTTGACGATTTTTTTGAAATTCAGTTGCCAGATCGTCTGTTTCAACCCGCAAATTTTGAAGACTGGTTTTCAAAAATTTACTATTCTTAAATGTGCAGGACTAAGGCGATGGTGGATGAACGGATGACTAAAGGTGTCTTTCTGTTAAGAGTGCTGAAAGTTTCAATGTGACAATGGGTTTTGATAAATGATGAGGAACTTTTGAAAGTGCGGCTGTGTCAACTCGGTAATCTCAACTGGTACATTTTGTGTAGTAGTTTCAAAAATTAATTCCTCCTTAATGGGTTAGACTATAAAGTTCTCTTATGCATGTCTAAATAGAGCTGTCGCTAGTCTACACGTTCTGAAAGTTTCATAGCGCTAGCAAATTTTGCTTAATTTTGACGAATTTTTTAAAATGCTACAAAAATTTTATATTTCAAGCTGCTCAGTTTGCAGACTAGTTTATGAAAAATTATTTCTCTTTAACTTGGTTAAATAGAGCTTAAAGAGGTGTTGATAACTTCTGATTAATTTTTGAAAATGCGGCTATCAACTCGTCTGGGTCAACAAGTACATTTTACGCATTACTTTTCAAAAATTCAGTCCTCCTAAATGTGCTAGACTAATGAGTTGCTTGGTACATGCTTAAATAGAGTTTTCAATGTTCTAAACTTCTAGCAATTTTCAATGCGATCAGAAGTTGTACTGAATTTTGACGATCCTTTTAAAATGCAGTTGGCAGATCGCTTTTTGCTTAGAAAGTAGGCTATTACATAAATAATTGACCAACATAACTTGATCTTAAGCCACAACGCTATGTACAAACGATATTTTCATTCTGCCTCCATTCGCACCCGAATTACATGTGAGGGTCGCGTTGTTGGACAACATTGCAATAAAAAAACACTCCCAAAGTGCCGATTTCAAATTTAAATTTGTCATTCAAATCTCATAAAACTAGATCTACTTTCAGCACTTGAGAATAAAAACAGTATTTGAATAAAATACAAATTCGTGTTACCTTTGCATTCCTTCACATAGTTACTGGGAAACCATCCAGTTTTCCCATCGAAAGTTCCCTCCCACCATCCGTCGTCCTTCTGCGTGACCGTGATCACATCGCCCTTCTTAAAGCACAGCTGAAACAAATTGGAATTTTTCAGTTTGTGTTTTTTGCCCGCACAGTTCATTTACAAAACACAACCGCACACTAAACCACAGTTAACAACCACCATGCATTGGAACTGGTTGATTTCGTTGCCAATTAATATTAGTGCCGTGGTTATCAGCATTTATTCATTTCAATTTCATCTAAGGACAAGTGACGACTCGCTTATTAACATCATGCTGCTAATCGAACATTTGAACCATAAAAAAATATTATTACGAATGTCGAGCCGACGACATTCTCTCTAAGTTTTTGCTCATTATCTGATAATTTGCACGCGACGTAAATTTGACAAAAGCTTCTCGCTTAGATAAAAAGCAAGATAGCAAAGTCTCCACAGAGGACCATCATCATTGGACTTATTTAGTAACGAAAGCACCGAAATCAAGGGCTTAAAAACCACAACTAAAAATAATAGACAATAGACGATACAATAAGTCCCAGTGTAAGGTTTTATTGATTACGTACACTTTCAATATTATACCCGCGGCTTTGAATTGTTGTTAGCATAATAATGAATGCGCTTTTGCTGTTCCATGAAACACAAGGTTTCTAAGCAAATTTTTAGAAACATTCTTTAGGGACTCATACATTCGACGATTACTCGTAGTTTGGGAATTAATAAGCGATAGTGATAAGCTTTTACACTTAAAAGAAATGGTGCGCAGGAAAACGCATGTAAAACCTGCTCAGTTCATCTAATCTAAATCCTATTTAAATGTAACGAATTTGCCCCACTTACCACAAATCTGACTTTAGAAACTTAACCGCATGCCATTTGTGAGTGCCTTTTTCCCGGATCCCAAAGACTAATTTCTGAGTTTTTCTCCTTAAATTTACCCTCGTTTCCATTAAAAAATGTTGATAAAAAGGCGACTAAAGGTTCATAATGTGTCCCTTTCGACTATAAAGTTGGCGTGTTCGCTTTGTTAACTGAAATACCAAAATATCCGTGATTCCTGATTCCATTACTTTTACTTTTATCCGAATTTCAAAATTATTATATTTATATATTTAAATTATGCCGTCATTCAACCTTTACTTAAACGATTCATAACCGTATCGCTTCAATTTAACGACTTTATCCCACTCCAAGGCGCATAAATCCTCAATACACAAGTTTATAACATAAACATAAAGAAAATTAGGTGTTTATTCTGATTGCTAGACATTGTTTGATTTTGGAGTCCAATTTTTTATATTAAAAGGTGCGGCGTTTCCTGCAGGGTGATACGAGAAGGAAATATCGAGGCAAAGAAAAATCCATGGTTAAAAACCCGCAATGATTGTGCGAATTTTGACTCCCGAACCATATTATGACACTGAAAGAATTTCCACTGCAGAAAATGTTCATTTACGCAGATAATCCGAGATAAAAAAAAACAGAAAAAGCTGGAATAAAATCATTCAATTTTTGTTTAATTTCGAACAGCCGACGGTGTTGACTATTTCAGTGCTGATTTTACTTCATGGGCTTTAAAGTGGTGGTTTTCATTGCTCGATAGAGCGTTAAATTGTGCACTTTCTCATACCAAACATCGTTTTTCTAAATGCAAAGACTCAAAATTAGTGCGGGTCTTCAGAACCCCCTTGAGTTGTTGACTCGTAGTTACAAAACCGGTTGAGTTACAAATCTGTTTTCATTATTTAATAGAGCGTTAAATTGAGTACTTTTTTGCACCACTTTTGTACAAAATGTTTCGAGTCTTCACACCATATGAAAAAAATCAAAATTAGTGCGGGACTTCAGATCCGCTTTAGTTGTTCGCTCGTATTTTGAGAACACATTGAGCCACAAAGCTCTAGTTTTCATTGCTCGATAGAGCGTTAAATTGCGTACACTTTTCTACTAAACATCGTTTTAGAAATATTTATCGTGCTCACACTAAATGCGAAAATTCAAAATTAAGGTGGGCTTTGAAAACAACTCGAGTCTTCTGTGTCTTGATAGAGCCTTAAATTGCACACTTTTACATCAAACACCGTTTTTCAAATTAGTGCGGGTTTTCAAAACAGCTCTTAGTTGTTGGCCCGTAGTGAGAAAATCGGAGTAACAAAACTCTAGTTTTATTGCTGGATAGAGCCTTAAATTGCGCATTTTTTTATGATAAACATCGCTTTTCTAAATGAAAAAAGGCAAAATTAGTGCGGGTGTTCAGAACCGCCTTTAGTTGTTGGCTCGTATTTAGAGAACCGGTTGAGATAAAAAGCTCTAGTGTTCATTGCTCGATAGACCGTTAAATTATGCACTTTTTCATACCCAACATCGTTTTCCTAAATGCAAAAAGCAAAAATTAGTGCGGGTCTTCAGAACCGCTTTGAGTTGTTGGCTCGTAGTTAGAAAACCGGTTGAGTTACAAATCTGTAGTTTTCATTGCTTAATAGAGCGTTAAATTGAGTACTTCTTGCACCACACTCACAAAACTCTAGTTTGCACTGCTAGATAGAGCCTTAAGTTGCGCATTCCTTGATGATAAACATCGCTTTTCTAAATGAAAAAAAGGCAAAATTAGTGCGGGTGTTCAGAACCACCTTTAGTTGTTGGCTTGTATTTAGGGAACCGGTTGAGATAAAAAGCTCCAGTTTCCATTGCTCGATAGACCGTTAAATTATGCACTCATTATGATATTATGAAAATGTGGAATAAAATCATTCAATTTTTGTTTAATTTCGAACAGCCGACGGTGTTGACTATTTCAGTGCTGCTTTTATTTCATGGACTTTAAAGTGGTGGTTTTCATTGGTCGATAGAGCGTTAAATTGTGCACTTTTTCATACCAAACATCGTTTTTCTAAATGCAAAAAGTCAAAATTAGTGCGGGTCTTCAGAACCGCTTTGAGTTGTTGGCTTGTAGTTAGAAAACCGGTTGAGTTACAAATCTGTAATTTTCATTGCTTGATTGAGCGTTGAATTGCGTACTTTCTGCATCACTTTAGTACCAAATGTTTCGAGTCTTCACGTCATGTGAAAAAAAATCAAAATTAGTGCGGGTCTGCAGACCCGCACTAATTTTCAGAACGGGTTAACCCATAAAGCTCCGGTTTTCATTGCTTGATATAGCGTTAAATTGTGCACATTTTTGTGCCAAACATCGTTTTAGAAATATTTCTCGTGTTCACGCTAAATGCAAAAATTCAAAAATTAATGCAGCTCTTGAAAACCGCTTTTAGTTGTTGGCACGTATTTAGAGAAAGAGAAAGTTTTTACAGCGCGAAAGAAAGTTAAATTGTGCACTTTAATATCAAACATCGGTTTTCTAAATTACAACATTTTAAATCAGTGCAGGTTTTGAAAACCGCTCTTAGAGATAGAATAGAGCGTTGAATTTCCCACTTTTTGATGCCAAACATCGTTTTTTAATGCAAAAAGTCAAAATTAGTGCGAGTCTTCCAAACCGTTTTACCAGATTTAAACTTTGACCAAGAAAACATGTCAGTGTTTAAACACCCTGTACAGTATGGTTATTGCATTTTTCTTGCTTGTCTCATAAACGACAATTTCTGCAAAAACAGCGCTTTAATTACATGAAAAAAGTGTTTAAATCGTATTATCGTGCAGTATCAAATGCAAACTCTAATCCCTATAAGTTGCGTTCCTGTGTAGGTACTTCAAAGGTACGTTTGTCTAACCATTGCTCCAACTAAAGTCAATTTTTATCCGCATAGTACTCCAAAATGTGCAGCCGTTATATAATATATGCACCTCACAAAGCTTGAAATATTTTACGCAGATAAATATGTATATTACATGCTAACGCGTCCAAAAGAAGAAAACGCGGTATCTTCAAATAGCTTACTCAAGCAAACACAATTGAAAGAAAACCAGGTGTTGGCATAAAACTGTCGGAAAAAGACGATGTATCTATTTGCATAAATTGAATCAAAAATCGTAACGCGTCATGTTTCACTACTTTTCCAATTTCCAAATACCACAAGCGGCATAAGACAAGTAATTATTACAAATCCAAAAGTATTTCCAAATTAAATGACCGGCTGCATGCAATGAGTCCCAGAAGTAATGTTAAATTCATTAACAGTGAGCTTAAAGCTGAAAACCGTCAATTTTCATTTTTAAATGCTGTTTTTTATGGAAAATCTAATTTAAATTGCCAAAAATAGTCAGAATTTACCGTACGTAATTTAGGCACAGTCCTTTTATTGCTAATTATATTTTTGCGCTTCAGAGTGCCTGATTTTCTGGAATCTTTAGAGTCGTAAACAGTAACCGAAATTATTTAAGTGGTTTCCTGTTTGTCGTTATTGCGGAATAGAAACGCAAAAATGACCGATTTATTTTCAATCGAGACTGCTGATCGTTTCATTGCTGCGATTGCATGATGCGTTTTAGAGTGGCGTAAGGTTGTTAAGATGTTGATCGATAAAATCCATCTTTCTTCGGCTAAGCAAAGTGAAGTAATCAACTGACATTTTCATCCGCAATCCAGCTTCCAACATTAACACATGCATATTCAAATTGTTTTACATAATAACTTTCACACTGCTTCGGCATATTAGGTGGACTTGAGTTCAATTTTTCCAAAATTCTTGCAGTATCTTTGTCAAATAATCAGAAAGCAAGAAACAATCACAAATGAGAAAAGCCTTGAAACCTACGAAATTCGTATATCGTTGACAGTCCGAAAATGCATCCAAATGATTAAAAAATAGGTATAATTGCAAACAAATTGGCACAAAAAAAGTTAAATTAATACTTTTAACCAGAGACACGAAACTGAAGTGGGGAAAAATTATATTTTCCGCAATGATACCAAATCAAACAATGCCGAACAACCATAACAATCAGCTAATTTCCGTTACCACGTTTATTTTCTAAGCGATTTTATTATTGAATATTTATGCGTTTTGGAGTGGCGCAAACCCGTTAAATTGAAATTTTCGTCGATGCGGTTATGAATCGTAGCAATAAACTTTGAGTGACGGTACAATTCAAATACATAAATCAATTTGGACTGCGAATAAAAGCAAAACTAATGCAATCACTGATATTTTCGTATTACAGATTAAGGTTACCAATTATAGTTGGCACAGCGAATGGACAAAGGCGAACAGCTCCCCAAGCGTTTAGATTCATTACATTGGCTTTTGGTATAAATTTTATTCCAAATGCAATGTTCTAGCCAAAAAAATAATTACTTCTTATCTCGAACAAGTGGAAACTTGCAATTCACAGAATCTATAGACTTGAATCTAAAAATTCCGAAAATTTCATTCAAATCGCACAGAAAACCTCATTTCTGCAGGTTGAGAAAATGTTAAGTTAACAAAAAGTCCGCTTTAAAAAATCAATCATTTCTCATCTAGAGCAAGTGGAAACTCAAATAACTAGACTCGATAGAGGACACTTGGGCCTAAAAATCTCGAAATCTTTTTTCAAATCGCACAGCAACCCTCATTTTTGGAGGTTTAGAAAAAATAAACGTTTAACTGCAGCGTCCGCTTCAAAAAAACAACTTCTTATCTCGAGCAACTGAAAACTTGCAATTCACAGACTCTATAGACGACACTTGATTCTTAAAACTTCGAAAATTTCAATCAAATCGCATAATTCCCTCATTTTTTCAGGCTTAGTAAAGATTGGCGCAAAAATAAACGCGTTCACAACTGCACCGCCAGCTCCAATAAAACTTAACTTTTCTCGGGCAAACGGAAAATCAGAACTTCTCATCTAAAGCTAGTAGAAACTTGTAATTCACAACACACTCTATAGAGAACACTTCAGTATAAAGAAATCCGAAATTTTCCTAAATAAATATTGGGCCAAAAATAGCATCTGCATCGTCCGCTTCAAAAAATCAAAACTTCTCATTCGGAGCAAGTGGAAACTTACAATTCATATACTCTACATATAATGAACACTTGAATCTGAAAATTTCGCAATTTCTGCAAAAAAATGGCAAATTTCATTCAATTCGAACACAACTTTCGTTTTTGAAGGTTCAGTAAATATTGGGCCAGAAATAAACCTTTTCGCACAACTTCACCATATGCTTCAAAAAATCATAACTTTCCATCTAGAGCAAGAGGCAACTTGCAATTCTAAGACTCTATAATGCACATTTGAATCTAAAAACTCCGAAAATCTAATTCCCTCCGCACACAGACCCTCATTTCTACAGGTTGGGAAAATGTTAAGTTAACAAAATTAGACATTATGACACAACTTCACCATCCGCTTCAAAAAATCAATTATTTCTCATCTAGAGCAAGTGGAAACTTTCAAATAACTAGACTCGATAGAAGACATTTGGGCCTAAAAATCCCAAAATTTTCATTCAAATCGCACAGCAACCCTCATTTTTGGAGGTTTAGAATTTTCTAAACCTTTTACGTACGTTTAAAAAAAATAAAGGTTTAAGTGCAGCGTCCGCTTCAAAAAAGCATGACTTCTTATCTCGGGCAACTGGAAACTTGCAATTCACAGACTCTATAGAGAACACTTGAATCTTAAAACTCCGAAAATTTCAATAAAATCGCATAATTCCCTCATTTTTTCAGGCTTAGTGAAGATTGGGGCAAAAATAAACGCTTTCACACAGCTCCACCGCCCGCTCCAATAAAACGAAACTTTTCTCGACCAAACGGAAACTTGCAAAAGATTAGACTCTATAGAAGACACTTGAATCTGTCAATCCCTAAATTTTCATTCGAATCGCACAGAAACCCTCAATTTTGCAGGTCTGGTTAATTTTGGGCCAAAAATGAACGTTTTCTCAGAACTCCACAGTCTGCTACAAAAAATCACAACTTCTCATATAAAGCAAATAGAACCTTGCAATTCACTGACTCTATAGAAGACTCTTCCAGCTGAATACTCCGCATTTTTCATTCAAATCGGACAAAACCCTCATTTTTGTAAGTTTAGTAAGGTTTGGGCCAAAAATTATCGTTTTCGCAAAACGCCACAGTCTGCTACAACAAATCACAACTTCTCCTATAAAACAAGTAGAAACTTGCAATTCACTGACTCTATAGAAGACACTTGCAGCTGCATACTCCGAATATCTCATTAAAATCGGACAAAATTCTCATTTTTGGCAGTTTAGTTAATTTTGGCCGAAAAATAAACGTTTTCGCTCAACTGCTCCGTCCGCTTCAGAAATCAGAACTTCTCACCTAAAGCGAGTAGAAACTTGTAATTCACACACTTTATAGAGAACACTTCAATATAAAAAAACTCCGATATTTTCCTTCAAATCGCACAAAACCCTCATTTTTGCAGGCTAAGGAAACATTGGCCCGAAAATAGCTTCTCATCTGGAGCAAGTGGAAACTTGCAATTCACAGACTCTAAAGAAAACCATTGAATCTGAAAATTCCGCAAACTTTATTCGATCCGAACCAAACCCTCATTTTTGAAGGTTCAGTAAATATTGTGTCAGAAATAAACCTTTTCGCACAAGTGCACCGTACGCTTAAAAAAATCAGAACTTCTCATCTAGAGCAAGAGGCAACTTGCAATTCTCATACTCTATCGGGGACATTTTTCCGTTTCATTTCGAATTTTTCTTAATTAGTTGTTTATGTTGCACGCGTTTGCGATTTGTTTTGAGCGAAACTTGATGCGAAACGTTTTAGTTTCGTTTTGGGTTTTAATTGATTAATTAATTTTAGAAAGTTAAGCTTAATCTTAGCATTAGTTTATGGTTATCGAGGAAAAACAACTGGTATTCCAGGCTGGGGACTTTTTTAACTAAATTACTCTCTTGGTGAAAATTGTATGTGACTTGAACCGTATGTTCGATGGCAAAGACTGCCCAACCCTATCAATGGAGGAAATGGATACTGTTGGAGGGCGAATCCCGCATTAGGTACAAATCGAAAACTAATGCAACTCGAACATTCTAGAAGTGAACATCTTTTTCGCAAGAACGATCAGAAAATCGGAAATCGACCATAAAAGGAGCGCCACAAAAATGATGACTTAGAACCACTAATGGAATATCCATTAATGGAAAACTGAAGTGAGACAAACTGGAATTCTTAGTAAAAAGCTAAAATTATTGATGCGGTTGAAAGAATGTCTAACCATAGCAAATAGCAATTTTCATTAGAATGTTTATTTTCTAGCCGGTTTTATTAGAACTTTTATGCATTCTGGAGTGGCAAGGACTCGTTAAATCGAAATTTCGGACGTTAAGGTTATGGGTCGTTTCACTAAGCTTTGAATGACGCCACAATTTGAATAAATATAATAATTTTTGTGAGAAAAAAACTCAAATTAATGTAGACACTATGACATTTCAATTCGATACTGCCGCGAACGCAAATAATTAAATAAATCGCGGGTTTAAAAAAATTCAATATGTACCTAAGTAAAGTGCGCTAGCAATCGGTTGATGGTTGATCGATCATCATTATAACCAGATGTTGTTATCATCAGCATTGCTTTAAGAAGGAAGCTTTAATCTTAGATAATAATCTAATAGTTTTCTATATGGAAATTCTTCCTAAAATTACATTTTACTCCAGTGAGGATCAGGACAACAAAATGCGCAACTTCATAAAGCAGTTGGAAGGAATCGGGAAAGTCCAAACAAACAACTGCATGCTTAATTCCCCCCAGTCCAGGGAATAAATAAAATCTTTGCAGCATTTTTCAGCAAGAATATTAGTGACTAATGCGTTATGATACTGGTGATAGCCCTAGTAACAACACTGGGCGTTTAAAAATAGAAATCGCTTCTGAATGGGATGTGAATTGAAAAAATGCGCGTTTATTTTCGAAGCCCGTGCGATGACATGGAAAAGTGCTGAACTTTCCACACTTTACCTATGAGAAAAGCAGGCAGCATTTATTTAGCTAATGATTAATCAATGATGTTTATTATCCATTAACCTGAGTATGTTGGACAGAAAATCGCACTTTTCATTGGGTCTTCCTGTAGCGCAATTGATTTCCATTAGATGTAACATTTGAATGTTTTATGGTGGGTCACTAGTTTAGTTACAACTGAACAGTTTTGGGACCAATCCACTACTCTGTGTAACTCACCTCATCATTGTTGCTGCCTTTAAAGCCATACAGGGCCTCTACTACCAGTGATTCTCCAGCCATGTTCTGCCATCAACACCTGTAACGGAAAAAGGTTCCTTAAAACCAGAAAAATGCACGACCGAATAAGCACTTGTTCGGGAACGGGAGAAAATCGGCCACTATTGAACGGTACAAAGTATTTTCTGAATGTCGACACATTCTTGGCATATGGCATAAGATCTTGGGTGAATCTGGCAAACAGCCAGGCATATTCTGAGCCGAGTTGCTTTTGGAGGAATTATTAATATATCAAGGCGAGTCGGGGCTAATTAACAATTAGCTGCCCAGAGCTGCAGCAGTTAGTTGAAGCTGCCGATTCAGTATCGGAGGGGTGACGAAAAAACACCTTTCGAGAACGGGATTCTTAAGTTCTTTTGCAAAAAAACATTCTCAGGACGAATCTTATTTGAATACTGACACAAAATTGAACACAACCCACAACCAGGATTTTTACGATCTTTTCTGGAGAGACGAACTGATTTTGTTAGGTTCTAACTAATTGTAAAATCAGATCAAATGAAAACTTTCATCGGTCATTCGCCAGTTCAACTCTTATGCAAAAAACTTTTCTTTTCAATTAGGTTGCTACAGTTTTGCTGGATTCCAGCTATTAAGAATTCGCCAAATCTTCGAAAAGACTCGCATATTAAAGCGTTGATTGTGGGTTGGGTGTTTACTGGATATCAGACATGGGTAACACTGTGTTTTGTAGCACTTTTGTGTTGAGGCCGCTCTGTGCGTCAATGCGTTATAACACCTCGATAAAATTAAGGGTTTTCCTCTAGGTATGATGCACGTTTAACGCATAGCTCAAATAATCTCTAACTTTCCTGCCTGTAAATATTTTGTTAGACGGTGATCCGATATAAACATTTTTCTTACGATAGAGAAAAAACGCAGAAAAGTTAGCTGGTAAACTTACAACGCAAAAACTGATTTAAATATTATTTGCGGAAGAAGCGGCATTAAGAAAGTGTCAGTAATGAGAGAATACATACATACCGTACGTAAGTAACTATTAACGAAATTCATTAGCGCCCAAACTAGCTAATTACTTGCTATTTTAGTAGGAACCCACTTTTCGCATGCGACGCTTATCTGTTGAAGATAAATTGAGAAAATGACTCAACTTAACATCGAACTTCTCGCTTTTATGACCTATTAACATAAATAAATTAATAAACCTATTAACATAAATATAACGCCACGACATACAATAGGACCGATTAAGGCATACTAATGAAGTGCTGAAACTAGCCATAGATTCTGGGGCAATCTTCTACAGTTTACTCTCTGAGAAAACGAGATAAGTTAAATAAAACCCTATCGAAATATTGCCCTATCAAAATTCCACTTAAAGGGGACTTACATAAAAATACAGCCCCAAGTGAGGTTAGGTAAATTTGGGAAAATGCTCACTTATGGCCCTCAAGCAGCAGACACTTTGAAGACTACACAAAACCGTACTAATTGTCCGATTCGTAAAGAAACAACAACTCACTAACTAGTAAAAGTTAATAAAAATATTGAAAACTTCAGCTGATTGACAGACATTTATTTTGATTTGGGACTGACAGTCTGGCAGCTTTGCCACAAGAAAACAATAAAAAAAATATTTTTTTATTTAAGCTAATGTTGCATGCTCTGAGGGCGCTGAGGATAAAGGAAATTGTTAGAAAACTTACTTTGTTGTTAAAATTCGAACAAATAGTTGGTTGGGTTATCAAAAATACGAAAATAGAGATAAGAATTCATAATAATGTATGCAAATGCAAAAAATTTAAATTAAAACATCAGACGAACGGTAGCAGTTCTGCCAACCAAAGTAGTGCGTATGACAGTCTCCCCAGATGAGTCAGCGAACTGTTTTTTGTAACAAATAATTCCGATTGTTTTTTGCGAAATATCAATGGGTTTTACTGTTTAACGTCGCTAATTCGTGGGATTTATTGTGCAGCAGTGCGGTGTGAACGAATAACAGCCTACAAGCCATCTTTCCACTAATGTGCGCGCATTAATTGACAAAAAACAAAATCCATTTGACGTCTTTTTTCACCCAATCCAGGCCAGTCCAGGCATTATAACCTTACAATTCCACAGAAAGGACGCGTGCATTAGCAAGACGGATTTTCTCACATATTTCTCTGTGCATTATGAGTCTGTACGCTTGGGTAAGTTTTCCTCGTTCAACCTGGGTCTGATCAGCGAATTTCATTCAAATCCTTTGTTACAGGGTGCGAATAGTTATGGCCAATTAGGGCTGGGCTACAAGTCGGAAGAAGAAATCAGCCCTAAGGAGATTTCGCTTAAAGGTAGCGAATTGAATGCTAGGGATATCGTGTGCATTACTGGAGGAGCTGGTCATACTTTGATTTTGGATTGCCATGGTTTCGTCTATTGCTGCGGCTGGAACTCCAAGGGCCAACTGGGCCTGTCTGACGATACGGTCAAGCTCACTCAAATCGAGATTTTAAAGGAATTTAAAATCGTGGAAATATCCTGCGGTTGGGACTTCAGTGCCGCCGTGTCCGAATGCGGCAAACAGTTCGTATGGGGCAACAATCAGTACACCCAGCTGGGGCTGTCAAAAAGCATAACATGTACGGGCATTCCTTCAAGACTGCAAGTGTCTCAGAAATTAGCAACTGGCTTCAAGAAGGTGAGCTGCGGCTTGAGACACTCCGCCATGATCACCAAAGAGCGCGGCCTTTTGGTGGCTGGGACAGGAGCCAAAGGCCAGCTGGGCTTAGGGGACAATTTTGATGATAATAACTACTTGAGTATAACAAGATTACCCGAATTGGAGGATGTGATTAGTGTAGCCAGTGGGCAGAATCACACTCTGGCACTGAGAGAGAATGGCACTGTTCTGAGCTGGGGCGAAAACAAGTTTGGACAACTGGGGATTGCCCCCAATGTCGCAAGCAGCTTCATCCCGTTGGAAGTCTTCTGTTTGGAAGGTTTGGAGAATGTCTATGCTGGCTGGACGCATAGCGCTGCTATCACCAGAAATGGTGAAGTTTATACTTGGGGCAGAGACACCTACGGACAGTTAGGATCCCCGAGGGATGTCCCATCCAAACCCGAAAAAATCCGTACTTTGGACAAGGTGAGGCAGCTCAGTTTGGGTTCGGAGCACAACCTTGCTGTGACCACCGACAACAAACTGTACACTTGGGGCTGGAACGAGCATGGCGGTTGCGGTACCGGCGACAAAAAGGAGGTGCGAACACCTACGCAAATCTTGGACAACAGAAGCGTTAGATTGGCTTTTGCCTGCACCGGAAGTTCTTTTGCAGTCCTTAATTAGTCTCGACATTGTCTTGTTTCTCTTTTTTATTGTTCATAAGTATTTTTATAATTAAGATGATGTGTAATTATTGTATCAATGCATTATTTTTGTAATAAATAGGACTTTATGCGTGGACAATAGCTGCTTATCGATTTCTCCCCCATCTAGTCCCAGCTGCTTGTTTGTGTGTATTGTTGCTGACAATTGTCAACGAAAATGCTCAATTCCTTACGCTCCAAAACCAGTTGGCAAGTATTTTATTTATTTTAATACATTTAGGGCACACGTTTTATGAAAACATCATTCGGATGATAACAAGTGAACGGATATTCACACAACCTTATCGCCGATTATGTTTACACATGCATCTAAATAGAATTGTAAAACAGGCCGAAAACATCTTTATCACTTTGTTTAGACTCCAGTATCTTTGCTGTTTACAAGCGGATTTTAATCGTTTTGTGCTCTATCTCCGGCTCACTTGTTCAACATATGCAACTTTGGGTTTTCTTTGAGTAACTAAGTGTAATCCGGATCCATAAGATGAACATTGCGTGTACATTTTTGAATTTCCAAAGCTGTCTTTCAAGCCGTATCAAAGATACGAATTCACTTCTATCATTAACAAAGACAATTTTGAAGGACGGAGAGAATTCAACTTTGAGTCAGTTGAATTTTTAGAACATTTTTGAAACTGAAACAATTCCTTATCAATGCTGAACCTTTTCCTAACAATTTTTTGGTGTGTTTGACAAAGAGACGTGATTCATTGATATTAGATATTATTTTCTACTTTGAATTTTGTATTTCACTTGCAAACTTAAAATAATAAATTAAAATTTTTCAATGTCAACAGTCCTCTTAAGGCTAAGACTATACCTTAAGGCTTTACTTATCTGAAAACGAAGATAATTAGGTTGGTTATTTCTTTCAGATTATGGTTTGGTTACTCTGTATTCACAATTTTTTACAAATTCTTTAGGAGACTGAAACCAACTTTGAATCAATCTACCCTGAGAATTCGCTTTTATTCCCTTATAATTTTATAGACATTTCACAGGTTCCTCTCCGACTAGCTAAGTTTTCATATTTAATATCACTAGAAAATATCCCACTGTATGAAATTTCGTTTAGAGATTTGGTGACTGTTAATCTGAAGTTATAAGGAACTTTACAATAAACAAAACATATATTTCTACGAGCAAAAAAAGACCTTTAACATAGGAATTCGGTTGGTGATTTCCTTGAGATTTAAAGTTCTTTCTTTGGTTTCTCAATTTGGATGAGTAGCCCAATTTAACTAACTCCTGTCGTCTTACATGGCTTAAGAATTTACTAATATTCTCTTCAACAAAGAGCATTACGCTGGTTATTTTTTCTCCCATTTACCAATTTCTACCCTATTCTCAATTTGTGATGTAAAGATGAGCCCTCTGGCTCATTTTCCTTTCGAGAAATGAGTAAAATCGGGACGGAAAACATGAAAATTTTTCATAATATTTGCACTTAAGTGTCTGATATTCCATTTTTGCTTTCTGGGTCAAAACCACTCGAATTTCCTCACTCATGTGGTGATGACTAAATCGGATTTTCAATTCTCTATCCCACCATACCAAAACGAATTCTGTGGCACAAATGGGGCCTGAGAGACTGCCAAAAAAGCAACGTCGTGTTTGAGTCAATTTTGCAACTCAAAAAAAAAACACGCAAATCTAAAACTTCCTGAAACCAAGACTTYTTTGAGAAAACTGCCAACATTTCCTTAYTGATGGTTCACTTTCTAAAAAAGCCATTTAGTGCTCTCTGTAATGATGTAAAGATGAGCCCTCTGGCTCATTTTGCTTTCGAGAAATGTGCRAAAACGGGACGGAAAACATGAAATWWTWWCATAATCTTTGTACCTAAGTGTATGATATTGAAATTTCGCTTTCTGRGTCAAAATCACTCGCATTTCCTCACTCTTGTGGTGATGACTAAATCGAATTTTCAATTCTCTATCTAACGATGCCAAAACGAATTCTGTGGCACAAATGGGGCCTGAGGGCCAAAAAAGCAACGTCGTGTTTGAATCAATTTTGCAGCTCAAAAAAACACGCAAATCTAAAACTTCTTGAAACCAAGACTTTTTTGAGAACTCAAAAAGATTGTTTCATTTCTCTCGTCGATTTTCTATTTTTAATAAGCTGCTTAGTTCAGCATTGATCAAATAGTTTAATCATAAAAAAACGTGTAAATTTTTGATTCGATCTTCCTTCTAAATGCATGTAATTCAAATTTTTGATTTCAGATTGTCTCTGTTTAAGACACTCCCTTAGCAAGGTTAAGACTTTAGTCAGTTCAGAGGTGTTCTGTGGTCTAAACATCTGCTTAATTTTTGGCAATTTCACCTTGTTTAGTGATAAACATGGTAAATTCGTTTTTTAGACACCTTTGCTGACTATTGAATGTTAAATTGCAGGATGTTTGATTTAAGTTGTTAAATTCTTAAACATGTTTTGTTTTAAGCATTTTCTGTTAATATTCTTAAGAAAAATAGTTTATTTATATATTTTTACGCATATGCATTATGCATGCACTAAGTGTGCACACAGCTGAAAATATCGAACGTCTGAGAACTCTTGTGGGTGAACAAAATTTGAAAAATATCGTTGAAAAACCAACGGATTGTAAAACGGTACTATAATTATAAGAGCAAATATTTTATTCATAAAAATACGTATAAACGTTTAATTCGTCCTTTCTTCTAAATACTTTTGACTAGAGGAATGTTCGATTGTAGGCTGCGTTTTCTTAAGTTGTTAAATTTTAAAACACCCTGTTTTAAGCATTTACTTTTAATATTTTTCACAAATATATTTTATTTTGTCATTTTTGTGATTCTGATTTTGGTCTATTTCAAATTTGGAATTTCAGTCATTCCTTTATCAAGGTTGCGACAATAATCTGAACATCTACTTAATTTTTGCCAATTTCCGAACGTCTTGTCTTCCGTCCTCATGTTTTGTTATTCACTTGAAATTTACGTTTTTGCCCTACTTTTAGGACCAGTAGCGGCGCATGATTTAATACTTTGGAACCACGCAATCTGGCCAAAAATTGTGCAAATAAAAACTAATGCCGTGCACGTATTAAGTGTGCACAATGGCCAGTTGAAAATATCAAATTTCTGAGGACTCTTGCAACTATTCAGCTGAATAAAACGTAAAAAAGCTCGTTTAAAAGCCAACAGCACTAAAATCATAGCAATCTTTCGATAGAGCAAATATTTTGATAATAAAAAAATTAACATTTAATTCGTCTTTTTGTAGACACCTTTGGCTGGAGGAATGTTAAATTGCAGGATGTTTGATTTAAGTTGTTAAATTCTTAAACACGTTTTGTTTTAAGCATTTTCTTTTAATGTTTTTAAGAAAGAGATTTTATTTTTATATTTTCGTGATATTCTGATTTTCATATGAACGTTTACTTCATGCTTTCTTCTAAATGCTTTTGAACTGCAGGAATGCTATATTGCAGGATGTTTTGTTTTACGTTGATAAATTCTTAATTAATTTTATTTCGTTATTTGCATGAGACTCAGATTTTGATCTAATTCAAATTTTGAATTTCAGACATTCCCTCTCAAGGTTGAGACTGGAGTCTGAACATCTTATTTTTTGACTATTTCTTCTGAGGTGAATAAGAGGTTCAGCTGAAATTTACGTTCTGACTATATTTTTTGCAACATTTGGGACTAGAGCCGGCGCATGGTTTAGTACTTCTAGACTAGAAATCACACAATTTAGGAAAATTGACGGAGACAAATGTTTTTGGACACCACAGCCAAAAATCGGACAAATCAAATTAATGTTGCGCATGCACTAAGTGTGCACAATGTTCAGCTGAAAATAACGAACGTCTCAGAACTCTTGCGGGTGAACAAAATTTGAAAAATATCGTTGAAAAGCCAACGGCTCATAAAAACAGCACTATAATTACAAGAGCAAAACTTGTATGCATAAAAGTACGTATAAACGTTTAATTCGTCCTTTCTTTTAAATACTTTTGACTAGAGCAATGTTTGATTGTAGGCTGCGTTCTTTTAAGTTGTTAAATTCTAAAACACCCCGGTTTAAGCATTTACCTTTAATATTTTTAACAAATATATTTTATTTCGTTATTTTTGTGATTCTGATTTTGGTCTAATTCAAACTTTGAATTTCAGTCATTCCTTTATCAAGGTTGCGACAATAGTCTTAACATCTATTAATTTTTGACTATTTCTTATTCACAAGAAATTTAATTTTGCAAAACTTGGGGCCAATGGCAGCTCGTGGTTTGTTACTTTGGGATTACACAATTTTGAAAAATCGACACAGACCACCATGCCCAAATCATATAATTAAAATCAAAATATGAGCATAATGCAAAGGAAATAAATGCCGTGCATGTACTAAATGTGCGTAATGGCCAACTTCCCAGAGCTTTTGCCAAAAGCGTGGGAGGAAGGTTCCACAAATTAAATTTGGCATACAAATGTCCAGTGAATAAAGCAGTTAGAAACTGCGACGTCCTGAACCGTGAATTTACCGAAATGTTATATGTAATTTTTGTAATTTTGTGTTTTTTTGACGCGTGTTTCAAAGTTTTGGTGCAATTATTTAAAATAATGATGAAATTTATAATTTATGTTTTTTGTAAGACACATAAGATTGATTACACGAGCACATGTTTTTATATTAATCGCCATTGAATTCACCTTTTGCAATACCTCTATTTAATCATTATGCTTTGTTGAGCATGAGAGTCTTTCGAGTTTCCTTAATTAAAATTTAGTTTTTATGAATTTAAACGTGAATCTGATTTTTGTTGGAAGACAAAATCGCCAGTACACCGTTATCTGATTTAGTGCTCAATATGCAGATTATTGTCACCTCGCTTTAATCACAAGTTTATCACAATCCCTCCTTAGCGAAGAAGAAGCAAAGTTTTTGCAGAATCGCATTCAACTGGTGGAAAAACATCTGGCAGATCTATGCGATGTTTTTGGCCAGTATGCACGGAAAACCGCCCGAGTTCGGGACAAAGGAGATGAAATATCCAAATCCGTTATCTCATACTCTGCTGGGGAAACAGTTAATCGATCCTTGTCCATTGGACTGGACGGCTTTGCCGCGTCCATGTCCACTCTTAGTGACTATGGGGACGCCAGGACACGGGGTCTGGAGTTGAAAGGTAAAGATAGCATAGCAAATGAAACTTCTTCATTTGTTGTAGATTTAATCTGGCTCCGAAAATCAAGTGTGGACTAAGTAGTAAAACTCGATTATTGTGTGTTTTTCCATAGTGGTGGGAGAGTTTTCCAAATACGAGGACATTTGCAAACGAGCCAGGGAGGAGGTGAGGGACATTTTTGCGGCCAGAGAGCGTGAAATGCAGAGGAAGAAACAACTGGACCGCATCAGGGAGAAGAACCCACGGAACCGACAACAAATTGTTCGTGGTACCCAATCTGCAGTCCAAATCTTCATTAATTGTACCTTTTTATAGATGCAAGCGGAAACGGAAGTGGCAAAGGCCACAGCCGAACTGTCCAAAACAGTACACACTATTGAGGAAAAGGCGTCAACTTTCGAGAAGSAAAAGCTGCACGAYTTAAAGGCGATTCTACTGGACTTTATCCGTATCGAAATGGGGTACCATGCTCGCAGTTTGGAAGTGCTCACAGRCGCTTTTTCATTGGTTAACGGAATCAACGAGGAYTCCGAYCTTGAAGTAAGAAAAAGTTTTTCGTTGTTYTGCTACTCTRAATTTACRATRGMATTTTTTTCTAAGGACTTTCAAACAACTAGAGGAAAAATGGACTTGGTAAACMAATATTTCATTTCAATTWCAACGTGTTTTTTATATAGTGAGCGGCTATTTGCTTTCAATTCCAGTTCAGATTAGTGTCTAACTTCAATATACAGTTAGTGAATGAATCCCTACTGTAAAAATACAAAATGCCTATTTTAAGTACCACTATAGCATGATGAAGGTCAATTTTATATGTTTTACTTATTTTGGACATATTTAGATCTTTCTTCCAAGACCTGCAAACTGAAGATTTGCCAAAAAGTCACCTTTTATAAATCTCTGTAAAATTCACGRAGAATTAAAGTACCGTCAGTTACAGCTTATTGAAGACTTCAGGGGMACCGTGAATACAAACTTTGTTATGGAAATTTYCCCCTTTATTCAATGCCATGCTCAGAAGTTTTCMATTGGTTTWAGTTTTTTAGAAAATSTTTTTTTTTRCATACAAATCATTCCTCACAGTACCAACAAGGTTYACKGTCACAGTCTAAAGCGGTCAGACAATTTGGCGCAGTCCYAGAATAAAAAAATGAATCAACTAATCAATTCCGCTCARTTGACCCTCTGYCCAGGYCAGATTCCCTAAAAATCTACTCTAAAGCCTACAACTACTTTTTACAGGAGTTCAAAAAATCACTGCGTTTGCCTGAAACTACCCATCGAAATTCCCCAGGGGCGMGAAGCGYCCTGCTCCGATCYACACAGTCTTTGGGAGCAATTTTCTCCAGCTCCCATACTAAACGATTCTCAAAGGACCGGTTAAATAAAAGCCAGGACACTTTGGATTCGATCAAGCACAGCCTGAGCGAAACGGAGGAATCTGATTCGGAGACAATAGAGAGTGACGATGATGCCGAGGAGGATGAGTCTTCTATGGAGATGCGAAACGATCCCAAGAAAGTGCATTAAAACAGTGATTTGCCTGGATAATGAAAAACACGGCCGGTCATTTTAAATAATTTCAATAGGATCCGCTTGGGAATATATTTGAATTAAGGGAAATTAAAGTTTTACCCTTCTAAAACAAGTGCGATTCTTAATTTTTCACCTGCCTGAACCACCAAATCCCCAATTTGGTTAAACCAGGGACTTTTTGGGGACATTTTGGATTGGATCAAATACAGCCTGAGTAAAACGGTCTGATTCGGAAATAATAGACTGACGATGCTGCTGAGGAGAATGAGTCTTCTGTGGAAATGTGCAAAGATGTCGAGAAAGTACATCGCTCGGATAATTAAAGTCCTTGAACGTTTGCGCATTTTTTTACAGAGACTAAACACAAATGATACAACAAAACAGTGGCGACTATTCTTCGCTGCCATTTTAAATAACTTAAATAAGTTAGGACAGATAGGAATATCATAACTTAAATAAGTTCCGCTAGGGAATATAGGTAATCGTCTTAAAGTAATATTAACGCCTTACCCTTCTAAAATACATGCTTTTCTTAATTAACCTAACTGATATGTTAAGCCTTATTTGTCGGGCGCCTCTACACCAGCCTGAGTCATCAAATCCCCAATGTTTTTCTCCAAATCATCGATTCGAGTGCCCATTTCATCAATTCGTGTCAGGATCTGATCGGACATGTTCTGGAACTTGTCCTGGATGGTTTGCAACAAGCTCTGAACCTAAACAAGACGAATATAATGCAAGTTCAGTATTCAGTCATGGTACGTACGTATTGGGTGAGTTCCTGAACATTTTTTGGATCAGCAGCATTCGCAGCTCCATAAGACTCAGTGTCGTTGTTCGTCATGTCGTCTTTCACGTCCACCATACTAAAACACGGTCTCCTTTTATTTAAATTCTTGGGAAAGGAGCTGGATCTGGCTCTGCCTGGCACTAGAGTTGGTTTATCAATTTTCTTCGGTATTTATATGGAAATCGCGTGACGAAATATGGGAAATACTAATGCCGTTCCAACAATGAGCCAAATTGGGCTTTTCCCAGCTTTAAGGAAAAGCGCAAATAAAATATATTGAATAAATACCTTGGTTGTTATTGTTGTTAAGGGAAAAGTCACTGACAGAAGAATCGTAATACAGGTTAGGAGCTGAACTAGTTAATTTTGTTGTGGTGAGTGTTAGTGTGACGTCACGGCGGCCATATTGATAGGATTCTTTTTGAAACAAAGACTCTTACTTTCACATATTTTCTGATTTTGCCAATAATTATGTGATTCTTTAGGATTTTTTTTGGTTTTCTTCATATAATTTTATCAAATTATAAGTAAGGTTTTTGTAATGCAAATAAAAGCGGTCAGATCAGTAAAAGATCGGGCTTTTGTTATAAGTGACTAAGTAACACAATTCTAAATATAATATGTATACTGAAAATTGAAGCCTGAAAATTATTTTTCTTTCAACGACAAGCACAAACAAACAACAATAAATTGCAATCATAACATTTTTATTTAGCTAAAACTAAAAAACTACTAAAACTTTGGTCTAATTCAGCTGCAAAGCTTCCAGCTAGCTGCCCAGAGAATCATTGATGCCTGTGAACGTAGAAGCCGAACTCCTTGAGTTTCCTGTACAAGGAAATGTATTTTCCTGCCGCCGTCGTTCTGGGCACGATGAATTTTTCGCAAAACATTGTCCGGTTCCGGGCAGCTTCGCTCAAGTTTCTGTACATTAACGTAACTAGGAAGGTCAGCACGAAGCTGTAGCAGTTATGGTTGTCTTCACTGTATGTTTTCGCTGACCAGCATTTCTGCTTGCATACCTGCCACAAGGTGGTGTCCCAGTGTTCTCTCCAAGGCAAAGTGACCTAAATCAGATAAGCGATTATATCCAGGCTACCGTAGCATAGTACTCTACACCAAGCTCTACAGCCATACGAAACTTTAAACAAAAAAAAATAATTTGAATTTAATTTTGTGTTTTTTTAAAAATTTTGCTCATAAAAAAATTGTCTCACATTGTTTTCCTATTGAGTTAGTAAAAAAATGACATAATATAAAACACATGTAAAAACTGAACGGAGTTCTTCCGGAAAGTTCTTTCATTTCTGTTCCATCAGAAAAATGGTCTAAGCGTAACAAATTCTCGAAAGAATAAAAATTCAAAAAAATCACACAAATGAGTACCTGGTCGAGCAGCAAACACTGATTCCAATGGTTTGATCGATGTTTTCTTAGGCCTTGTTTGTCGAATTCAACGATGGTACCGGTGGATGTCGTGACACCGATATGCAGGTCCATTGAGTTGTAGTAATCGCTAAAAGTAATTTTAAATTGCGCTTCTGCAGCATATTAATTTCAAATGCAGTTACTTTAAAAAGTCCCCTGTTGTTGGCTTGATTACTACCGCACATGGGTACTGGGAGGCTCGAATAAATGGATAAGGAACTCTAGAAATTAGTCAATGTAAGAAATTCATATGCTGCAAGACTAGGGTGTTTCCACTTTTTATGTTGATATATAGAAAGTAGTTATGGCAAACATTACGCTGATATAATTGTTTTTGCAAAAAAAGTCTCCATAATAATTTTAAAGCGAATTTAAATTCAAATCAGATATTTTCCGCCAAAAACGCCGAATCCGTATCGTCGGTGCCTATCCGATTGTGACGTAGCAGGTCATATCAACAAAGTGTCTCGTGATTGTTTTGTTGTTTTCGCAGCTCTGTTTTATTATTTAAGTTATTGTGATTATCATTATTTTATTGATTATTATTATTATCTTGCATAGTGGAAAATAGTGACACGTATGGATCACAAAATAAGTGGTGTTTTGTGCCAGGATGCAAGAATACCTTAATAAGTGCTCCAAACAAACTCTTTCTGACCGTTCCGCATGATTATGCACGTAAAGTTTTATGGTTCAAAGCAGCTAGACGTGATGTTCCTAAATCAAAATCAATGTGTTTTTGTTGCGAGGATCATTTTAATCAAAGTTCGAACAAAAAACTAATGAGGAGGCAGATAGAATATGCCTTCGATCGCACTTTGCGTTCTGGGCAAATTCTACCTTGTACAGTGCACAAAGAACCCTCGCGTTTCAATTCCACATATCCGATTTCACCATATTGTTCTCGTGATGCCCAAAATACTAATTTAAGAGTTCATTTTACTTTTAAGCAGCCATGTGTATAAGTTAGGTTAAGTTGAATAAGTGAAATTCTATATATTATTTACCTAATTTAAACCAATACAGACAGATTAGTATATTAAGGAGAGAGTAACTAATAATGAATTTACGGATTTTTACTTACGGTGCTGCTCTAACACCCTTAAATTCGGCTGAATAAAAGCGTTTGTCGTTTTTAAAAAATTCGGTAACCATAAAAATATGTACACATGGTAATTGTTTGTTGACGCTTTAAGGAATCCTTCTGATGCGATTTTTTAGTTTAACACAAGGTATAAATTATTTAAATCCACAAAATAATTAATGAAACACAACCACATAACTAAACAAAATGCACAGAACGTAAACAATCCGGCATTTATATGACCAGAGACGTCACAACCAATAGGATTTCGTTTTAGAGACTCATGAATAATTCGAATTTTAGCCGAATTTGTTTATTAAATATTTAACAAAATAGCAATAGATAGATAGTATAAACTTATTTAATCTTTCATATATACATATTACCATAAATTAATGTTTAGTTTGTAGGAATTTTTGATACAATCAAAACACCCTATTAGCAGCGTTTACCTGAAGGGAAGCAGGGAGAAATTGGCTGCTCCCAAGTCCTCCCCGCATACTGGGCAAGTCTGGGGCAGTAGGAAGCAAAACACTTTGGGGCCGCAATGCTGGAAACATACGATTCCAGGATCCATTTTGGCTAGTTTACTTATTTTCTTATCTGAAAAATACGGTTGAGACGAGAATTTTCTTAAGTTACGTTTTAAGCGTGATTTGGAAATTAAATTGGTTGCTGGTTAATGACCACCCTGTATTTATATGAACGTTTTTCGTGTAAATTTGTTTGCGAAATTACTCACTGATATTTTGGCGCGTCTTTTCTAGACACCCTGTATATAGTGAAAGCAGTGTGTGTGAACGGATCGCATGATTAATAATTAATGTTCGCCTTTGAAATTAATTGTCTTTTCTTACCAGATTTCCGCTTGCTAACTTCCAGGTCAGCATCTGAAACAAAATTAGCGCGTTGTAATAAAACCATTGAAGAACTAGATATGTACAGGATGGTMAAAATTKATCGTTTCTGTGATTTATTTCGGTGTTATGAGCTCGTTTTCTGAGAAAGAAAACTGGAGCTCCTTAATGTTTTCTTTTGYTAATTTGTTCACGAGATGCKTACAGGATGAAGCGGAAAATTGCTGATTTCCAATGTACCACTTCAATTAGGCTGCTTTATTAATGAGTACATTTTTGGCTTTTTTCAGTAAATAATCATCTGTAGAGTACAAGTCACACAAGTAGGCAAAAAAAAGGCATACTCAAAAAAGTTAGACTTCTGTTGAAACTAATGAAACACCCTGTATATTTTGATATTATTTATAAGTCCTACTCTTCCTGAATTCCACGATATTTTATTATTTACTAGTTATTAGATTTTTTTTTTCTCTTTAAAATTCAAAGATCCAGATTAGGCCTGGGGAACACTGCGTTGAGTTGCGCTATTGAGTTGTTGCCGCTCTCTGAGTAAACGAGTTATAACTCATCGGTTAATGAGTTATAAATCATTTATTAAAAATTTTCGAGACCCTTGACTGGAATTTTCACATCTAAAAAAGTTTATCAACATTTTTTCTCAGTAACGTTTTACTACTTTGTTCAAACAACTAAAAAAAGTCATCTAGATTTTGTCTGTAACATCCAAAGAAAGTCGACGAGTTTTCTGGTAAAATCAATATCCTAATTTTGTTGCATAAAAGATTCAGTTTGCCAGTATTTTACAGGAAAACGTTAGGAAAAAAGCGGTTTTTTCTGGTTAGACAGTGTTGTTYAGAAACATTGACCTAAAATTGAAGAAACCCCAGTTTCCAAGAGTTTTTCAAATAAATGATTATAACTTTCCGCTTTTTTAGTTCGGGGAAATATTTTTGGAAAAACACCTAAAAATAATTATTACGGTTTTGTCCATAACTCGAAGCTGCAAAAAGTTTTCCAAAAATGTTTGCAAAGCGGTTAAGGATGCGAGTATTCCAATAAAATATATCTTATAATTTTTCACAGAAAATACCTGAAGATTGTCAGTATTTTATGTAAAACTAAAAAAACAATGCGATTTTTGCGTAGAAATAATTGCTTAATAGAAACTTTGCTAAAACTGGAACGACCTGAAAACTTAAAGGAACTTTAACTTATTAGGAAAATTATTTGCTTTTTGTGCCAAACTCGAAGCTGAAATGGGTTTTCTAAACTTCCCTGCAAACCCATGAATAAGGCGAATTTTCTAGCAAAATTAATTTTCTAATTTTTGGCTGAAAATACTTTTGGCTGAAAATAATCAGAAAACAATGCTTTTTTGCGTTTTCGCTTAAAAACTTTCAGGTTTGTGATCAATTTTGGAGAAAACCTTAATGGTTTTCGGGGAAAACCGGGATGTATTTTCGTTTTTGTCCCAAATTCGACGCTGAAAAAAGTTTTTTTAGCCATTTTACAAACCTATAAATGTATCTTGTAATTTTTCGTGGAAGTCCTCCAGATCGTCAGCAGTCAGTTCCACAAAATAGATCGTATTTGAGTAGAAAATAAAGAAAAAAAAATTAAGTCAAAACTAAAAACCACATTTTTGAACAAACTCTATAATAGCCTCAGAGGAATGGAGGTGACAAGATTTCCAAATAATCTGTTATAAACTTTCGCTTAATCTGTTCGTTTTTTGATAGAAAATTGTTTGTGTTTGTTCCAAATTCGAAGCTGGAAAGGAATTGCAAAACTTTTTACAAAGCGACGAAGGACTAGAAAATTATTTCATAATTTTTCGTGGAAAATACCTTAAAATTGTCAGCATTTTTAAGTGAAACTAGAAAATTGAGCATTTAGAAGAAAAAGTAACTTGGGCAAAACTGTAAAATTCTGATATTTGAAGACATTTAAAAAATATTATTAATAAAAGGTCTTCAAAATAAATCTGAAACAAGTTAAAAAAGTCATCAACATTTTCCCAGCAACAGAACGTTATTGCGCCGGTGCGGTGGGTTGGCGCACCAAGCCATTAGCGCAGCACTGCGCCAACTCCTCAAAATTCACTGAGTTACCCAGGCCTAAACAGATAAGTTGACATATTTTATTTTTTATCAATGCCAACGAGAAAACATCCCAAGAATATAAATCTGGTGAAAGAGGTGGCCACCAAAGTATTTCGATTTGAACATGCAAAAAGTGTCTGAGAAATGGAATTTTTAGGCGATTTTCTCAATTTTTTTCGCTCGAAGTATTTGTATGGGTAAATTTTTGTCATTCACAGCAAAATTTGAACTCGCGAGTTGCTTCCCATTTTTTAAAACAGTTTTATCACTAAATTTTCAAAGTATTTCGATTTGAACATGCATAAAGTGTCTGAGAAATGGAATTTTTAGGCCATTTTCTCAATTTTTTTCGCTAGAAGTATTTGTATGGGGGAAACTTTTGTCATTTACAGCAAAATTTGAACTCGCGAGTAGCTTTCCATTTTTTAAAACAGTTTTACCACTAAATTTTCAAAGTATTTCGATTTGAACATGCATAAACTGTCTGAGAAATGGAATTTTTATGCCATTTTCTCAATTTTTTCGCTCAAAGTATTTGTATTGGGAAACTTTTTTCATTTACAGCAAAATTTGAACTCGCGAGTCGCTTCCCATTTTTTAAAACAGTTTTATCACTAAATTTTCAAAGTATTTCGATTTGAACATGCATAAAGTGTCTGAAAAATTGAATTTTTAGGCCATTTTCTCAATTTTTTTCCCTCGAAATATTTGTATGGCGAAATTTTTGTCATTAACAGCAAAATTTGAAATCGCGAGTCGCTTTCCATTTTTTAAAACAGTTTTATCGAATGCATTGCATTGCAATATACATGAAGAGTGTTTCACAAAGCACCACCGACGCCAACTTTGGTTTTTAAGTTCGATAAAAAATAAATTTCATGCTCAATCAAGAAATGAAAAGAATGTCCGGATGTGCTGTTTAAAAAACCCAATTTGACCTTGTCTTTTTCTTTCCGTCTTCTTTTTGTGGCCAAGCAAAATTTTGCTGTGGCACAGCGTCGTGATAATGACGTCGATATAACGTGCCAAAACTGGGTGACTTTGACGTACATTAGAGCGCATTTTACGTGATTGTCACTTTTGGTACTGGCTGTGCTTCAAGGCTCCGATCCAAATAACTTTGGTACTATCCGATGGAAGCCCGAATTTGAATAAATCACCCTGTATAATTTTCTGTTCAAAGTGCAGCAGCTAAATGATCATCTACTATCGGTATTCGTTCTACTAAGTTAAGTTTCCACCATTCAGCCACCCTGTAGACGGTATTAATTAGACCTATTAATGGTTGATCTAGAAACCTACCATGCTTGCCATGGGTACCATCACCTACTTTAGCACATTGATCACAAACCATCGAAGGATTCACAAAGAACGTATACGCAAGTCAATGACTCAGACCTACTAAAGTACTAATTAGTTGTTTTGTGACTTTGGCTTTATGGGTTATGGGTACCGAAATGCGGTTCGCTCGCCAACCCATTCATCGGAACCAACTGCTCACCGCTAAACCCGCTACCTTACTAGTGTTTGTTGTAAATTGTCTCGATTCAGATGGTCTGCGTTTGCGACGTTGCTGGGAATACCATAAAATGAGAACGATACAGGGTGACTCTAGTACGTAAAATAATAATCCTATTGGAAATGTAGAACTCATGAAACAGATAAATGTCAATCTCATCCAAAATTATGCCCCTACTACAGACTACAGCAACGAGGACGAAGTCCAGTTCTATAAGCAATTTTCAGATATCATCAAAACCTTGCTACAGCATGATATAAATATTATTATGGGTGATTTCAACGCCAGTCTTGGAAAAGGTAGAACTTGGAAAAGGAGAACACTTTGGAGACTTTGGACTGGGCGAGAGAAATAAGCGTGGCGATACTTTGAGTACATTTGCAGCGGAGCAGAATCTGATTGTAACCACACCATACATTCTTTCAACACCATCCTAGAAGATTGCAAACGTAGACATCGAATGATGGAAAAACAAGGAATCACATAGACTTCGTACTCATTTATAAGAGATTTAGAAACAGCATCAGAAACATGAAAACTTATCCAGGAGCAGATGTTCAATAGGATCATAACCCGATGATAGGAAGAATGGAAACCAGGCTGAAGAGAGTAGAGGAAAAACATGTAGGAGATTCGATTTCAGAAGACTAAAAGACACAGCCACAAACAAGCTGGTATGGAATGATCTTTTGACAGAGACTGAAGAGCAAGAAACCCAAGGAGATGTAGAAAAAGACCTTAAAATGCTCCATGGAAGTATACATAAAATCAAAGAAAAGTACTTAAAGTCTCTCAAACAGATGAAGAAATCTTGGATGACAGACGCGATCCTAGAACTGATGGAAAAAGGAGGTTGTTTAAAAATGAAACCAGATAATACATGAACATACATAAGGGCGAAAATAAAAACAGCTAAGGAAAAAGAGAAACTGGAAAAAWATGTGAAACTCGAAGAATGCAAAGCCAAATTTGATAGCTTTRATCTGCACAAGAAGGTAAGGAAAATGGCACMWCAGTTGAAAAGGTAAAAGACGAACAGTTAATGTACTTAAGGATAACCCAGATCGAGTTATAGTAAAGAARCCGGAAATTAAGCAAACCTGGGAAGAGTACATTRAACAACTGTTTGATGATCTGAGAACGGTGCCACCCAATATTGATAAAACAAATGGTCTCCCAATCTTAGAAGGAGAAGTACCGGCAGCTCTGAAARTGCTACAARTCAAAAGGCTTTGRGTCCCGAAAACAAGTTCAAGTTCGAAGGCAAGTTCCCAATTCTATCGGAAWTTGGGAACTTGAAATATTGTTTAATTTCTTTAATATATTTGGCTATCTATAGAAATCGCCGATACTAAATATCAGTCCTCAAATTGCAATATTTAATTTGCAATAAACAATTAAAGTTGTGACCGTTGACTATTCATTTAAGACGACACTAAACGCGTGGGAATGGTCGTGACGTCATAGAGCTAGTTCGTTCTATCAAAAGGCAATACGGTAATACGACTTGTCGTTAAATTGTCTGGGAGTTTGACTATTCAGAATTCGTGCTGTGCTATATTAAGGGAAGCAACACCGAAATAATATTACAAATGCTGTGTGGTGCCACTGTGTCTTAGTACAACTTTTAAAATGCCAGATAAGCTGCTTATTTGTGTACCACGAGATAAAAGCCGGAGTTTAAAAGGGTTAAATATATACAAAAGAGCTCACAAGGATATTTCTGAGAATACTGCTGACCATGTATTTTAATCGAAGTATAACAAATAGATTTGATTTTGTCTATCAAATAGCAGATAGATATTTTGAAATTGTATTTTGTTTGTTTCTCGGCTGCATTATAGTAATAGTAAATAATAACCTCAAAAATAGTTGTTTGTTTTACTAGACGATAAAAATAATTAATAAGTATCTGCGAAGGGAAAATCTCGTTTCATCGTCGTGTGTTTACGTTAAATACTATTTTTGTCATGTAATATGAATATTAAGACATATTTTTATGTAACTTTAATATTATTTATTTATTCGAGCTGGAAGGAGAATAGGTATTGTTTGAATTTTGAAAATTAGAGCCATTAAAACCCCAATCCCACATTTTATCGCATCGACAATCGTTTACATTGTGACTAATAGGCAATTTCACCCAACTCGAAGTACCCCAACACCCAATATAGGAGGCGATCGTAACCTTTTACTCGGAAGAATTAGATTAAAAATACGAATACCAAAACAACCAAGACCGATGATATCAACACAGAAACTCCTAAAGTAYCTATRC